AGTACAGTCTATAAATAAATATAAAAAAACAGTACGCCGCTCGCTGCTGAGGTGGTTGGGTGTGTTTGTACGTGCGCTCGTATAGCGCGGTCTGTGTCAATGGCTCGACAACAGAACTTCACTCCGGCTCAAATATTGGCAGAACTTCAAGACCTAGCGGAAAACCAGTCGGACATCGATGACCCAAGCTCAGATGTAGAACTAAATGGTAATGACGAGGATTTTATACCTCAGCTTGTTGGGAATTTGTCAGATAGTGATTCGGCCGATGAAGAAATGAACGAACCGGACGCTGCACCTACACCGGACGCAGGTGCAGCTGTTCCCAACAGTGCTCAACGCAGCGCCAGACGACGCGGTGGCAGACGATGTATGGGAAGCCCTACTCCACCTACGGCGGGCGATCAAATTCTTGGAAAGGACGGCACGACTGTTTGGACAGTTGTTGACAGTGGTGTGAATAATCCTGGAAGGCTCGCCGGACAGAACGTGCTGAAAGAGACAGCAGGACCTACGTCGCATGCTAAACGTAATGTTGCAGATAATAGCATGTCTAGCGCTTGGCGTTTGTTTATTGATGAGTCTATGTTGCGGCATGTGAAAATGTGCACCGAGACCGAAGCTCGCAGACAGACTGCGGACAACAGTTGGTCGATTTCCCTTGAAGAACTTGATGCTTTTATTGCTTTTGTATATGCCCGTGGGGCATATAATGCCGCCGCACTTGACTTAGATCTTATGTGGTCATCAGTATGGGGTCCACCCGTCTTCACGCAAACAATGGGAAGAAACAGGTTCAAAGAAATAAGGAGGTACCTGCGTTTTGACGTGCGTACAACCAGATCTGCACGGTTGCAGACAGATAAATTTGCTTTGGCATCTGCAATGTGGAACAAATTCATTGAGAACTGCTATGCGTGNACCACACACCAGAGAGCAAACGAGCCAGTATGGAATGGAGGCACAAGACCTCTCCTCGCCCCAAGAAATGCAAGATCGTCGCATCTGCCGGAAAATTGATGCTGACCATTTTTTGGGACATGAATGGGCGTTCTTGTGACTCACTACCAGCCTCGCAGGATTACCGTAACCAGGGACACGTACTCACAGCTGCTGTGAGATGAACTGAAGCCTGCAGCTCGAACAAAACGTCGTGGTCTCCTCAAGAAAGGAGTACTTCTTCTCCACGACAATGCTCGTCCCCACACTGCTCGACAGACTGTAGAAACCGTTACAGATCTCGGATTTGAAGTTCTTCCGCATCCACCATACAGCCCGGACTTAGCCCCTAGTGAGAATCACCTCTTTGGACCTCTCAAGGAAGCGCTGCGCGGGCGAAAGTTTCAGTCTGACAATGGGGTGCAGGAGGCAGTGCATTCAGTGCTGAAGGGGCAACCCAAATCCATTTTTGCCTCGGGCGTCAGAGCTCTAGTAGGACGTTGGCAAAAATGCATTGTTAAGCAGGGGGATTATATAGAAAAATGACGAAATCATCACCTTCAAACAGATATAATAAAAGGCTATATTAAGCAATGTCCTGTTTTCAGTTGACTGAACCTCGTATATAGGGGGGTGTTCAAACATTGCCTCATAGGATTGCTGATTCTTCATCATTCTGCACGGTTCATTCTTAGCACGACCCTAGGATCACAATATGGTGCATTGTGCACGAAGATACTCTCCTCGGACCTGTCTTCTTCAATGGCAGCAACGCTGTGAATGGTAATTCACCTTACCTTGCTGCTAGAGGTGCTGATGCCCTAATTGGATGATATCGAACATGCGTCCAGTTTCAAGCTTTACTTCCATCAAAATAGGGAACCACTCTACTCTGTCCTCGTAATGTGAAAATGGCTGGACACAACTCCTTCTTAGGTGGATTAGCCGACAAGGAATCATCGAATGTCATTCGTCATTCCTTACCTTGCAGATGGCTGCTGGCCACACCCAAAATTTTTCACTGAAATTTGAGCTTACAGTCAATGGAAGCCAAAATTTCAATAACAGACGGCGGACCTGATGTACTACCTCCGTTGGTCGTATGTTTAACACCTCTCGTCTAAATGGATATCATCCATTTTAATGTAAGAATCGATTATTACCATAGGGCAATAATTAGATGGGAGGCACAATCCCATCTGATTCGAGATAAAAGAAGAAACACGTATGTCTTCTTGCCTGAGAGTTTAGTGATGTGGTTCTGAAATATTCTCCAAGGAGGTTCAGCATTATTAGATGTAGTCTTTTTCAGCTGTGAGTTTAGTTTCATGATTTCAACCTTGGCTGGATCTGGTGGGTGATCGTGATTACCTATCACCTCGGCGACCGCTGCTCTTTTTTTCACTCTTGCTCTCGCTTTGCCCTTTCCTACACTCTTAGAAAATTCCGAGCGTTTGGGGAGTAAAAAGTGAGCACACCGTGAGCTTTTCGAATTTACTCTCTTATTACTCACCAAATGCTCTCTCATCGCTCGTTTTGAAGTGAACACTTTGAAGTTCTTCGCCGGGCCACTAGATGGAGATAAGGATCTGGCTTTTCGCACATTACACAAAAGTTCCCTTCCCTCTTTCCCTGGAATCGTCACTCGCAGGATTGTTTAGTACCTTGCCATCTGTCTCGCCTTGTCTCATTACAGGAATCAATAAACACGGACACTTCATCATTTATTATCCACATACTCAAGACGTACTCATAGAGTCCATGCCACAAACAAGCTCATATTCATATTGAGAACCCCCTTGGAACGCGGGTTATTTCATCAGCAAAGGAGATCTAGAATGCGTAGAGAGTGCCCGTGAACTTCATTCCCTCATACCTCAATTGAATGAGGTGATAAGGACTGATATCCCGGACTGCTCCGCGGAACCAATAAGAGGTCGTCCACCCTCTGACGTGTGATGCAATCAGTACAGTTAGAGGTAGGTCAACGCATGTACGAGAGAGATAGCGACACACAGTATATAATGAATTTTTCGCATTTGCATGACATGCCTATCACTTTCTGATGGAAGTGTTTTTACTCACGGAGGAGAGCAATTTTACTCCTTCACGATGGAGTAAATTTGTTCCTTTCCCAGAGTGAAATGGGGGTGAAACTGGAGTTAGCTATTTTGCTCTCTTTTTTTTAGAAAAATCGCTCCCCTTTTTCTAAGAGTGTACGTCACATCGCACGGCCCTTCTGTGATTTCACAAACTCCATGGTGTTCTGCTGGCCAGCACTGTCGGCTGGGTGCATGTGACACACACTGTCCGCTTTTACCCGGTTCTAACTGAGCATTAGGAAGCAGGAATCCGGATTACAATCTTTCCATCCAACTTTCCCATCTGGCTGCATGTGACCGAAAATGAAGGAAGAACGGGAAATCAACGAAAAAGCCGCAGAGCTCAGTATTATCGAGTTCGGGATTTTTGGTCGGCGTGGGATTTGTCCGCAGACCTGATGTCTTGGAATGGATGAAGAATAGAGAAAAGTTCATCCCGGGAGTTTATTGTCGGGAATGTTTTACCGGGGTGCATTCCGTCGTGCCCCACTTCTTACCATACGCCACTGCAAGCATTCAGCAAATTATTGTGGTAAAGTTGTCACCGGACCTCAAAAGGAATTCAGTCACGGCTCGCTTATGAAGTCAGCTGTCTATTATCGCGCTAATTTATTGGCTCATGAAATAGATAACGAAAATTCGCGTAACTTTAGTGTAGAGAAACGTTGGGTCGAAATATATACAAAGTAACCTGACCTGTGAGAATTATAGTCGACGCTCCATATAACGAATACAAAGGGACGGGTTACAAAAATTCGTTACAGGGAATTTCCCTCATTTCACTGAAAAATAAAGAGGTCTGTTAAACTTACGTAAATATCACTTCAAAAAGTCACTTAGTGTAAAAAAAAATAAGTAAGTCGTTGTCCATTCATAAAATAAGTGCGAAAGTCTAAACGTATGCAATATTACACAAATCCAGCTCTCAAGAGTAATGTATGCACCTAAATGGGTACCTACATAAAAATCGGACGAGTCAGCAACACTTTTTCATCGGAAACAATATTCCATATGGTAGTCTGCCACGCTCCTTCCTGTACAATTCTTTGAGCTGTGGTCTGCAGAGCACTCAATGCTTGAAAAGTCTTGAGGTTCAACATTCGGCCTCTGACCGAAGATAATCGAAGGCTTTTATTGCCTGACCGAGTAGAACTTTGATTTCTACCTGACCCTGATCCTTATCGCGAAGTCCTGCTTCTTGCCACCTTTTCGAACAGCTAGGATAACTTTCCATTTCTCCTCGAGGGAGAAAGCTTTTCGTTTCCCCATCTTACTTGCTGAGAGGATTATGACGAACTGACAGGTCTCCCTTTCTCAAAACGGCCACCCTCAAATGGTGGAACATGCTAAGTTTAGGTGTGAGATGAACTTTTTTCCAGAAATGCGCGAGAGAAAGTCGCTTTGAAGTGCGCCGCAGATTAAAATTTCTTAATACGGAACAGTTTTGTTCATTTGGAAGAAAAAATGAGTTCGTAAAGCGGAATAATTCATGATACAGAACTTTGTTATAGAGTAACTTTTAACATGCATGTGAATGGGCAAACGGCCAGGAACAGTTAAAAAAAAAATTAGTAGTACAGAAAATTCGTCATATAAATGTTCGTTATATGGAACGTCGACTGTATAACAAAACAGGAATTAATTATTGAACACCCCCTGTATCTTACCACTCATACCATGAATACGCAATGCCTATTCGTGTTGATGAATGCCAATGACAAATGGCAATGCCTATTCCCTCCCCTCAATATCCTATCTCATCGGTGGGTTCCACATGAATTGTAAAGCGGGGAAAATGAGAAAAGAACTGTCGTTGCCACCCTTTGTCCACGTCTTAATATCAGTTCCTGCCACGTAATGAAGACAATATGCTATAACCATTGTTGAGACACCGAAGTGCGCTGCTTCATCACTTGTTGGAGTCATTTTGATTCGCTAAGACTTGATGTTCATGGAATTCTAAAATCTCTTCTGAAATGATGATGATGATGGAGGAGTCGCTGCCACAAGAAAGAGGCAATCTCTGAAGAAATTCGCAGTCAGGCTTTCAAAGTCAGTTCCATCGGTACAATTCCCCAACAACTTTTCATTGAAGTCTGAATTGAGCGCATACCACTCCATGCGACACCCACACACGACTGGGTTGTCTGGAAATGAAAGGGAGGTGACGCGTATCATGAAGCTCAAGAAAGACGGTAGGGGACGTGTGTAGTGGAATAATTTTTATATTTTTCTGATTTTGGTTATTATTTTATTCAGGAGACTCTTGTCATTTCTTCGCTAGCCTTAGAACTTCAACCGGCTTGTTTTGCCATAAAAGGGTCAATGCTCATTCTAGATGGGTCAATGGTAAAAGAATGTTTATACGCCGGAAGAATTTAGAGTAAATAATCAGGTACCATGCATGCCAAAGAAGGTATTGAAATACACAAGTATTTATATGTACGGAACAACATTAGTCCAATAACAGGCTCTTCCCCCAGTCTTGCGTTCTCAGGCCAAGTGTTATCTCCTTGAGTTAGACCATTTCTTCCCTTATCAAAAAACTGCCTGTATATGACGTGAGGGGTCCAAATAGGAATAACCTTTTGAAGCTTGCATGGCATCTGGCTTTTGATTACGTAGGTATGTCTCATTTTGGGAAAATATACTGGGTGAGGTTAAAGGCTATTACCATAGCATTAAATAATATGCTGAAACTGCATTCCACCCCTTATGGAAAAATCCTATAGGATCCATTAAGAAGTCTAATAGAGTTTTATGTTTCAAGAATCTCATAGGATCTTTTCGTAAGGGATGTAGATGTTTGCTTGCAAAAATTCTGACTTTGACGTGGTCAGAAACAAGAGTGAGGATGTCTCTGATAATTTTTTACACCACTGTAATTCTGTTCTTCAACTTTTCAACGTACTGCGGCCGAGTTTCGCAGACGACTGATGTTATGTTTCCCTTGAGGAAAAAAAAATAGGGAAAGAGGTTTCCAAGTTCAGTACTTTTCCCCATATCTTTGAAGAAAGTAAGAAAAACCCAACACTGACGAAATACGATTTGTTCGTGGTTTATGGCGTTGGTGGTCCTGTTAGCCGTACTTTCATATAGAGCACATTTAACGCACTTTCGAGATAGAGCTTTCCATCCCCTCGTGAGACAACTTCCAAGATCGGGCGAAAGGTCTCTTCCGTCAGTTTGGCGATCAGATTATCCCTTAGGTAAACATTTGTTTTGTTTGTGACACCTGCAATGGAGGAAGAAGATACAGTGAAAAATATGACATTCCTTTTCCAATGTAGATGTGATTGCGTGAATTATCTCTGAAGTTACATACATTTAATGTTGGTAATGGTTGTGAACAGGAGTTAAAATCGAAAAATTAAAATTAGAGATAGCAAGGCTCCAACAAATTAACGAAACTTCGTGCCGAATGAACACAGGTGATGAGATAATAAATTTATTAGATGCATGTTCTTTTTAGATGAAAGAAGGATAAATAAGAACAGGAAGAGGCACCTATGAACGTTATAAATCGATTGGCAAAATCTACGGTGCCTACAGAGATCCGAAGCGCTGGGAGAGCAATATAACGTAAGGTAATTGTAGGTACTCATGGCACCATTAACTCATATACAGTACACACAAAACTTTTTGTCCCTATTTTGACACACATGGGATGTCGCAAAAGGTGTTACAAATTTATGACAGGTACGTTATGTGTCAAAAGGTCTCTGTGTGAGCTGCATAATTTCGGCGTTGGTGCGCAAATTAGCCGACTGTCGTTAATAGACATCAGGTTATAAGGGTCAACTAGCGTTCCATTCGAAATAGATGATAAACTCTTGGACGGAAAACTTTTGGTGTCGAAGTGACACATTTTGTACACGTAGGGACCCATTTGGGAACACTTTGTTTTCATATTATAATATTCGACAAACCTTTTGACTTATTCCAAGTGTGTCATAATAGGAACACCCATTTTCCTGTCAAAAAGTTTTGTGTGTACGCGCTTTCAGGAGTCAGAGCAGCGGGCAAGACATAAAGATCGATGGTAAAACCAATCAATATCTGCCAAGAAGGCATGCCTCAACATGGCAGGTCTTTCATGTGAGATTGTGTATGATAGGAACCACTAACAGTTGCTTTCGGATCCGCGTGTCTGTAGAACTAGTCAGGAGCCTCTGCACCTGAATCCGCATCCGAATTCGGATTAAAGTCTTGTTTTTCAGTACTGTAATTTCTCTCCCATGAAGAAAATACCCAACACACGCCAAGAGAAAGTATAAAGAGCTCAAAAACCCCAGGAGAACTTAAGAAAGCAAAAAACTTTTTGCTCTGATACCTCGTCAGGCCATTTCCATCATATTTCCCTATTTCCATCATCAGGAAGAGTAGGGAAGAGAAACATGAGGAGCGTCAGCTGAAGAGGGAGATTAAAGGAATGGAATAAAAATCAGCCGCCACATAACGAACTAAGAAGAGTGAAGGGAAGAAGTGAGTAATAAATAATGCTGGGTACATCTCAAGAAAACGGGATAACGGAAATCGTAGGTGTTTTGCGGGAAGGGTGTTCATTAAAATTGTACAAATTTGAAATATTTCTTTCTCGGCCGTGAACAGGCACGGACCTTTCCTCCCGAAGGAAGAAAGAGTTTCTGAAAGGATAGTTGTCAGGCGCGGGACGCTAGGAAGCGAATTTGATCAAATATTTGTTGTCTGTACTTAACAACCTGCCGCAGCGCCCCGTGCCCGTGAATCCGCATCCGAATTCGGATTAAAGTTTTGTTTTTCAGTACTGTAATTTCTCTCCCATGAAGAAAATACCCAACACACGCCAAGAGAAAGAATAAAGAGCTCAAAAACCCCAGGAGAACTTAAGAAAGCAAAAAACTTTTTGCTCTGATACCTCGTCAGGCCATTTCCATCATATTTCCCTCTTTCCATCATCAGGAAGAGTAGGGAAGAGAAACATGAGGAGCGTCAGCTGAAGAGGGAGATTAAAGGAATGGAATAAAAATCAGCCGCCACATGTGCTTGATTCTTCTCACTTCCCTTCTTCACTCATTATTTATTACGACCCATGTAGAGTTCTTTTGCCCTATTGCCTTTAGCATCCACAAAACGCCCTTCCCACAAGTAATTTTAACATGTTTAAACTATTTCAGAGGGTCCCCGCCCAAGAACACATTAAAAATGTAAAAAAATGTCAGAATCCATTCGCCGATTTTGTATTCAGGTGTTTCGATTGGAAGTTATGTCATTATATCTTTAAAATTCATGATAGTGAAAATCCTCCATCGATGAACAAAGACAAGAACTCCCGTTGGATAATACGTACTATCAAGCTCGCAGTTATTAGATGCAGCAATAAAGTTGCCGCCCAATGATTTCGTAAGATGCCATTCCGTTGTAGAGCCCCTGAACCTTATGAATCTAATCGCTCAGAACTCACGAATGAAAAATGTTTCTCCGTAAATAGCGCTTCTCTCTCACCATAGCATGTACATGACGTTAGTATAAATCCATGTTTGGCATGTGACCCGTTATGTAGCAGAAATCTATGAATGCGACTAGACACGAAAATGACAGCTTTTATATTTACATACAAATCACATTGTTTTGACTATGCGGCGTTATCATACCTACGTAGTTAACGAACGTCACTGAGATAAACTGATGCTTCAGAGATAGTCCTGCAAATATGAATAAAAGAATCACTCCTTTTGAAACTTCGACTGTTCCCTTTCCCTTCCTGTCTTCCTACTCAAATTACATGTTCATCATATTCATACCTTCCTCTTTGAGCAGGAACCCGAAGGCTGTCGAAAATTATATTTCAATAAACTAAAGAAACAGGAATATTTCCGGCAGTGGTGGAACATCAATAATTTGGCACATGCGAGTATGCATTTTCTTGAAGTTAAAATTACAATTTTCCGCATCGAACTTTCCGAAAAAAAATTGATATGGCTCATCTTTAATAAAATAATATTTCCAACATAGCTCTTTCACAATTTCATAAAGCACTACTTAGGGTAGATTTCTTCCCGAGCGACCTGGGTGTTTCAAGGAGAGGTTATTACTTAATTCTCAGGCTGGGCATCTTCAACATACCTGTAATGGCTCCTGGTTCCACGGTCGAAATGTTATTGGCTATCAGAAACAGTGACTTTAAGGCCTGAGTTTGGAATTCCAATGATCCAGAACGAAGAGTCGGACCCAGGTCACAGGATGCGCAGTCGAACGTATTCAATTTCTCGAAGCTGACGAAGAAACCAGTCGGGAAATCTCCGATAGGATTCTCGTCTGCAAGGAATGGAGAGAGACAATATCTGAACCAAAGGTTTCTTGCAGATTTCTTCTTCTATTAAATTCATCGCTTTCCATTCCTTTGGATCATTCAATTCAGGAAAGAAACGTACTGTTGGACTTAAGACACATTTTCATGGCTACGTGGCTTATTCGTGAAGATGCCTCTGGCAATTTCTAAAAGTAGTTGCCCACTTAAGTGGGACGTATTTTTCCAGTGAACTCACTGGATACTTGCAATATATAAAGCACGAGAAAGCAAGTACAATACGTTTTATGTCGGAAAAGCCATTGTCACTAAAAATAAAACACACTTGAGTCGACGCATTCTCGGAGTTGTAGAGAGAAGATCGCTGAAAGTAGAGCCACTGGTCGCATTCGGTTGTGCCTCGGTCCAACTGGATGAGAGTTGGACTTCCAGTTGGACTCGGGGCTTAGCCCTCTCTGACATTCAACTCGGTTTCTTAAATGGTCACTTTTCCCATTTGCCGTCTCACAGATTCAATGGTTGTTAGAATGTTTTCCTGAGTTGTCAGACAAACTGAAGTAGCTGAAAATGGATGACATGATACAAACATCTCTTCATGCTGTAATTAGTACACTGGGATCATTTTCCGGCCTCTAGATGAAGTTCATCTTGGCACAACAGATGTGTTGGGCAGCGTGCAATTACTTACCCGAGGTAAATGTTCAAGGCAAATGTCTGACGATATATTTCCTTCGTTTAGTCATTTTACCATATCTGAAAACTTCGGCTGTATGCATCCCACTGGCTGCAGAAATAATAAATTGTCAAGGCCGAAAGGATCATCAGCTCAGAGTGCTACTCTGGAAAATTTTGTGGAGACAACCGTGCCACTGTATTTTATGGACACTTTCAAAAAACATTTTCGCATGCAGAGAAGCACATTTGAGGTAAGATTGAGATGTGAATTGCGAAAGTGTACAAAGACCGAATAACTATCATATTGAATATTTTCAAGAGTTGTTGCTGTTCTTGATGGTGAAGTGCAAAGAAACAGAGGCTTTCATAGCAGTTCCAATGGAAGAGAAACTTCTAACCACTCCTTGGTTTTTTAGGGAACCAGGAGCCATACCCAACAGTGTCAGATCATTTTGGTTTGGCTGAGAGCACTCTGCATTTGTGTGTTGAGCAAGTGTGTACTTCAGATTAGGCTATAATAAGCCTTATTCAATCATACTTAACGAAAATTACACCAGTTCTTATTCATCCCGGGTTTGCAATCTTTTGACGATGTCAATCCAAAATGAGGTGATCATTTGGCCTGAATATATCTCTAGACTTTAGAGGAACATCAGACCATATTCAAGGAACCTCTGGTTTTCCAGGAGTAATAGGGCATTAGATGGGAGTCATATCCCAATTAAAGCCCCTAGTGAAAAGGACAGTTACATCAATCGGAAGGGCTTCTTCCCTGTGATATTACAGGGCATTTGTGACGAGACATTGAAATTCATCTATGCTTATTGTGATTGGCCAGGTTGTGCTCATGATGCCTGAGTATGGAGACATAGCACAGTAGGGAGGACTTTTGCAAATGGAACCTTGAAGCTTTCCCCCAACTATCACCTTCTGGGGGATTCAGGATATCCTCTTGATTAGTATCCTTGAATGTTACCACGATGTAATGGTCATCTCACACACCAACAAAGGCTGTTCAATACCAAATTAGCATCTGCCAGAAGCATTATTGAGAGTGCCTATGCATTCTCAAAGGTAAATTCAGGAGCTTAAATTCATTGATGCAAAGCCGAAGAAGGCAACAGCCATTGTGTTATGTACTTGTGTCATTCACTAATTCATCATCATCAAAGAGGGCACCAATTTAAGAGGATTCTGAATTTCAAGAAGAGGATATGGATCTAGGAGTCACAGACACCACCCCAACACCAGCAAAGAAGGAAAGGCAAAGATAAATTCTTTTGCAAATTCACTCTTGAAATGAAGAAATGGAAATTGACTAAGATTCATTTATTGCATCTAGTCTCAACGAACGGTTGTAACTGCAATATCTTATTTTTTTTTAGAGATAATCTCAAGTTACCTCTCATGAATATCATTTTCCTTTTTCTCCACTTCCATTTGCTAATGATGCATTTTGCACAGTTCCTCCTGGAATGCCTTTTCTGAAGCTCCTCTTTCAATAGCAAATTCCACAAACCATTCTGGTGCTGCTTTCCTTTTCTTTTTCTTGTGAGTTCCATGAGAAAGTAAAGTAAGTGTCTTGCCTTGATGTGCATTCTCATGGTCATGGGCAGTTACGAGCACTATTGGTGATGAAGATGGCAGTGTTGACACTTGATTTTCTTCTTCATTCTCCTTTTCCTCATCTGGAATTCCAGATATGGAAGAAGCACATGCCTTTGTGTGTAGCACTTCATTTATTTATAGAACTTCCACTTATTCCTCCCTCTTACAGTATTTGTCTATCCTTCACTCGGTTCTCTTTATGCTTCTCCATTTCTCATCACATTGAAGAGCACTATACCCCCCATCAAAACAAAATGGAAGAAGGGCGAACTAAGATAATGTCCGAGGCTATGTCTAGGCCTAGGCGTAACATTGAATGGGGTTAAGAAAAGGTATATTACGCGCATGTTGCAGGGCTAAACCGTTATGTCATTGAGTTCATCTAAGGGACCAAAACGCACTCACCTTGGACAACCTGAAACTTTTCCAAATGTTTCCCGGTTCCTGGCGAGCACGCTTGTCACTGCTAAGCGTCTCCTATGGCATGAACTCTTAGAAAATTACGCGCGTTTAAGGAGTAAAAAGTGAGCTTTTCAAATATACTCTCTTATTACTCACCAAATGCTCCTTCATCGCTCGTAGTGAAGTGAACTTCTTGAAGGTCTTCCCCACGCCACTAGATGGAGGGAAGTGTCTCGCTTTTCGCGCAGTACACAAGTTCCCTTCCCTTTTTCCCTGGAATCGTCCCTCGCAGGATTGTTTTGTACCTCGACATATGTCTCGTGTAGTCACATTATGGGAATCAATAAACACGGACTTTCCGTCATTTGTTATCCACATATACAAGACAGATCCAAAGAACCCAGGCTATAAACAAGCTAATATTCCTGCTGAGAACCCTTTTGAAACTACAAGGGTTTCATACGCAGAGGATATCTAGAATACATAGGATGATTTCACGGACGTCTCCTATCACGTCCTCAACTTGATGAATGAGGAAAAGGAGTGACGTCGCAGACACTTCGTGGAGCCCTAAGACGTGGTTCATTCTCTGACATGAACTGTAATCAGTACAGTCAAAGGTAGGTAAAAGCCTGTATGGTTGAGAGCGAAAGCAAGAGGATTTGAGTATTTGCATGACATCCCTATCTCTTTCTGAGGGAGCGCTTTTACTGATGGAAGAAGAGGGCCTTGTTACTCTTCGGTGATGGAGCCAATCCGCTCATTTCCCAGAATGAAAGGGGAGTGAACCTGGAGTTAGCGATTTTACTCTCCTTTTTGAGAAAAGTCGCTCCCCTTTTTCTAGAGTGTATGCCATATTTGCGGAGATGACTCGAAGGAATGACTTGATCTCTGACATCTCATCATCTAATATATATAGACGATCGTGACTGACTGACTGACGCTAATTCCAACCATGTTCTAGAATGGGTAGAAATGTGAAACTTAGTACACATGTACTTTTTGGGATGCAGATTTTAGAAAAAATCCCACTTTGGAGGTACATGTCCTGGGGGTACATATTTTGGGGGGAAACGATTTTATCTTAAATATATTTCGTGACAGATGAGGATGGCATTCAGGGAATCTAGAAGATGTGCTGGGATCGGTGGTGTAGTAGTAGCATGTCTAACCTGCAATCAGAACGTCCGGGTTCAATTCCTGGCCATACTTTGGCTTTCTTTGGTTTTTTTTGCCTTCCATGTCCCGTTACTCATTCCCCCTCCATAACATTATTTTTTCTAGAGTAAAACAGAGAGACATGGAAAGCTGAAACTTGGCATGGAGGTGCCTACCGAGACGATGAGTTCAGGAAAAATGCAAAATTTAGATCCATGATATGGGGGTATATTTTTGTGAGCCAACGTTTTAAAGTATTTTTTTTTGTGCTGGCGTATTGAGCTAGTGAGGAAAGATGAAACTTGTTACATAACTACCTATAGGGATGCTGCAGAAAACTTCAGACTTTGGAAGCAAATGCCCTGGAGGCACAAATTTCAAAGGGAAATGTTTTCAACTAATTTTTTTGCATCAGTTAAACTGATGAACATAGAAAACTGAAACTTTGCATGAATGTGACAACTGAGACAAGGAGGTAAATAAAAATGTTAAGCTTCGATACATTCCCCTGGGGGAATTTTTTCGAGGTGTGATGTTTTGGAAAAAAAATTGTCGTTGCGAGTTGGATAGAAATGGAAAGGTGAAACTTGGCACAGGTATAAGTGACATGATATTACTGAGCTGAGGGTGTATTCAGCTTTCATGATGCATCCCCTCCGGGCATAGCATTACGGTGGGTCGGCTTTTCTAAAAATGATTTTTCACCAGCGAAAAGGGCAAACGTATAATATTGAAACGTTCTGGGCATGTAGTTCACTGAGGATTGATTTCTGTAAGAAAAAAATGGTACGTTTCGGTTAAAACGACTCAGGACACATATCTTGGAAAAGGCTGATTTTCAAGAATTTTCTGATCCAACAAAACAGAGCGCGCATGAAAGTTAAAAAAAAAAATCGGCAAAGAAGTACCTGATGGATAGCTGTGCAAAGAAAAAAATCTACTTTTCTAATATATATAGACGATCGTGACTGACTGACGCTAATTCCAAAAGGCGAAACGTATAAGGCTGAAATTGGGTGGCATGGTGTTCCCTGAGTCTACATTTCAGAGGAAAAATTTTTTTCGCTAAAACCCATCATGGCTCCAATGAAGTCCCATTTTCCTGATTTTTTTTGTTGATCCAACGAAACAGAGACAGAAAATTTAAACTTCCCTCAGCAGTACCTGTTTATTGGCTGAGTGCAAGAAAAATCCTACTTTTAAAATATGTCTCCTTTGCGTAAATTATTAGAGGGAAGTATTTCAAAATATATTCTCCACCCTTACTAAAAGGGACACAAGAAAAGATTTAAATTTAGGCATACATAGAATCATAGAAGTAAAGAGTTTGATTTATAATAAAAAATCAAGACTTTCGTCCCCATATTCACGTATTTCAATTTTGACCTACTTTAAATAGGTGTTTCCCATTTCGCAAAAAAATGAATGAATTAATCACTATCCAAGGTAAATGAGCGCCGAAGGCGCCACCATAGAGAGTTTGATTGCCCGAAGGGCAAACAAACTCGCTAGTAGTACATAACTCGGGTCAGACTTCTGAGTCATCACTCAAACCGTTCAGGGCTTTGCGTCATGGATCGAGTCATAACCCGGGTCACTTTTCACTCACCCAAATCCAGAACCTCCAAGTTTGGGATGTTCCATTCTAGTTCCAGTGTGGATATACGATTCCTTTGAAGCGAGAGGTACACCAGGGTGTCACTGCTGAGGGTTGGTAACACTGTCAGGAAATTTCCATTGAGGTGGAGCTCCTTCAGATCGGTCAACTCCGGAAGAATTACCCATGGAAAGTCATCAATAGCACTGTTGATAATCCACATTTTATTGAGCCGATGTTTTGACGAAAGAATTGCTGTGCGATGAATGATGCGCAAGTTAGAGACATCAAATAAGGTGATAAACTGAAAAGATATGTTTCGAAAGACGTCTTCTGGAAGTTCCGTCACGCAGTCGTTGTTCCGCATTTCGAAGCTCCTGAAAGAGACACGTAGCGTTGAATAATTGCGGCATAAAGGCCTACATTTTTCCCATTGGAGGAAATATTTAGAGCTTCTTTGCCCGAAGGAACGCAAAGCACTAATAAACCCAAGTTTTTGCGAGGAAATGAGAATAATGCAAATTTAAAGTATTGAATAGATAATGCTCATAGATTGACCACATTGAAATGACGTCATTGAAAGAAAAAAGCAAGCTCCGCATATTCCTGTTGATGCAAGAAATTAATGGTCTCCGTCGTCTTCAGTTAGCCCCCTCGTAGCTTATGAAAATCGTGGTGGATCTGTGCTTGCACCAGGAAAGCGTATGAGGACCGGCTTAAGTAGGAGTACATGGGCCTAGCCCTAGAAATGTGGATCGTCCTGCGAATTGGGTTATGTGACTGGCATGTAAGTCCCTTGATGGCTTCTCACGAGAGGAACCATGCGAGATGAGATTTCCTTATTTTCACTGAAAGTGGAACTCAAGTTCGCTGATGATAACATATTCTGAGTTTGTTTACATTTATGATCGCCGAATACTGCTTAGAGGTTTTCTTTGAGGAAGGGGAAGCTTCTCGTGACCTTGACAAGCCTCCCTGCAGTAGATTGTTCATTGGAGTTCCCGCTAAAGCAACTTCTGGCTCCAAGGTAAGCTAAGACGGTTCTTTATCAGGCGCCTCCTCCCTTTATATAAGGACTAACCCCTTTCCCCTTGACATGACTCTCTTCCAATACTAAGGGAATAAACAAATGTGACAGGTTGATCCCCCTTGCTCTGCGCATTCAGAGTCGGTTACGTTTTTTTTATGTTCCTTCTCAGTAGGTAAAATCTCTGTTAACATTAATGAGATACAGGACATTTATTGGAATGCACTTTCACTGTCATCTAGTAGGTGCAAAACAATCATTATATTCTGTTTACTTGTATCATACGCCTTTGCTGCCTGGGCTAACTGCCCCGAGGCGGTCCTCAACCCGCTCGAAAGAATCGAACGAGCTGCTATCACATATGCCTTTCGACTTCCTACTTATTATTCTAGCTCCTATATCTATCGAATTAGCGGACTAACACCTCTTCCCCAACACGCCTCTGAATTAGCACTTAACTACTTCAACGACCCTAAAAGGCCAGGAGACATTAAGTAAATACCCTCAAAACTACATGTAAAAATTTACCATTGGGCGCTTCAAACATAGGAAAACCTATCCTTTCCATAAAATTCTTAAACGCCTCGGAAAGAGTTGCACTTTAACTCCCCCCTGCCCCCTTCCCAGCCCCTCCCCTCCACGTGAGACTACCCTTTCTCACAACTCACCATCCGTAACCCAACATCCCATCATCTCCATCACCACCCGTCTCTCTCTCATTAAAATGAAAAAAAAATCCAGGACTCATGGGAGAATTTACAGCCACGATGGACTTCTTTTAAGAGAACATGCAAGAATTTGTTGATGACAAGCGGCATATTCTGGACGCAGTATGGACTGAGCTGGTTATGAATCTGAATTGAGTAGGAATTTCGTGAAATTTAGGATTTGCAAATGAGAACGGGTCTCAAGAACATTCTGAGTCGAAGAAAATATCAAATTCCGAGCAAGCATAAATAACTTCGTTAACAGTTACTGGTATAATTTGAGAGTTTGCTTGAAATATTGGACTACCGAAAATTTCCTCTTTCAGGACTCTGTCATAAAATCGTTTACAAATGAAGACAAAGTTGTCCCAGGATTTGTCAACAGTCATAATGACAAACCTGTCCTGACCCTCTCTAAGAAGAGTCTTAAATTCTCCAAGAGGAAGGTCCAAAGAGCCTTTATTATAAAGGATATTGAACGATTTGATGCGTTCTGAAAGAGACTTAAGCAGCTTATTTCTCCATGGAATGAAGGTTGCAATAGAGTTCGAAGTTCTGAAAGAAATTCAAGACCCATATCTCTACACCGGTGAAGTAACATCATCTACAAACTTCTCTTTATNAGTAACCTCAAGGGCGATTTCGTTGAAGACCGAGGTTCCATTCGATTCTGCCAAGAAATAGTCCGCGGAGGAGGGAAATATATTCCTGATTGGGGAAAGGGGAACTGTACTGAGAGAAGGTTATGATTGGGAATAAACAAATGTGACAGGTTGATCCCCCTTGCTCTGCACATTCAGAGTCGGTTACGTTTTTTTTATGTTCCTTCTCATTAGGTAAAATCTCTGTTAACATTAATGAGATACAGGACATTTATTGGAATGCACTTTCACTGTCATCTAGTAGGTGCAAAACAATCATTATATTCTGTTTACTTTTCCTGCCTCAGGCTGAATTTCTTTCATGGATTGGTAGTCCTCAAAGGCCGTGACGTGTTCAGTATAGTAGAGAGAATACATGGCTCGTAGCGAGATGCATTTGCATTCTTCTTCGACGGAATGTGGACCCTTCCGGTCGAATTTCTCTACCACGTGATGACGGTGAATTCAAAAATGTTTTTGACAATGCTGAATTGCCTACGCCTACTCATTAACCCTTTCACTGTGACGGGGATTAATATACGCATCCGCCAATTCTATAGGGGCACTATACCTTGTCCAGAGTGCATTAGGACTAAATTAATGATGTCAGACAAAATATTTTTTATCGCACATTAACACTGACTACAAATGCAAGTGTGCATAATTAATGTTATTAATATATTTCATGAGACTCGCGAAGGCATCTACACTTTTCATCTCAAGGCTCAGGACGAATCCCAGCAACAGGAGCTTTCGGACTTCCTTATCGCTGGTCATGTTTGCTACCATTGCACCACTGGATCCAAATCAGTCATTCCTCTCAATGCCATCTCAGACACTACAGTACCCCGGAAAAGTACTCCAGGAGTGAACATTTTGGATCGAAACAAAGCCTTCAACCTTCCCCTGGATGAAACAGGAGACCATGCAAGGTTTGGTTGCACTAGCTCCTGTGGGGTCCGAGTGCATAAAGGAACAGAGAAACAGACTTTCTTCTTCATACATATAAAGATTTCACAGCATTCTAACCATCCAACCTTGAAGTAAATAGAAGCTATCATTGGTTCGGCGTATCCCCCAAAGAAAGCCTCGATATCCAAAACAAAATAACTAACTTCTCCCTCTCCAAACCCTCTCTTCTTCCTGAAAGCCTCTCTTCCGATCAGGAAGCACTACTTAACGAAATCACCATAGAAGAGATCAAGGCCGCGATTAAAACATCTCCTAATAAAGCCCCTGGCCCAGACAACATCTTCGTAGCTTCTCAAACATCTTCCAGAAAAAGCCCTCCAGCTCCTTCATCTAACATTTAACGTCTGTCTTAATCTCGGTCATGTCCCTCCCGCATGGAAGTCCGCTAACGTAACTATGATACCAAACCCGACAAAGATCCCTCAGATCCCTCTTTCATACCGCCCTATCTGTCTTCTCAGCTCTCTTCAAAAACTCCTTGAAAGAATTCTAACCGCTTGACTATCTAACTATCTGGAGTCTCTAAACCTTCTCACACCTTGTCAATCAGGCTTTCGACCTAATTTAAGTACCACCGATCAGCTCGTTGGACTCCACCACGACGCGCTCGAGGCTGTCAACAGTAAAAAAAAATAAAACATCTTAGTTCTCTTCTTCGACGTTACCAAAGCATTAGATAAGGTATGGCACGCAAAGGTAATCTATGAACTTCATTTTCTTTTTAAAATCCCCTTGCAATTCTTGCGCTGGATAGCCTCATATCTGTCCGAGAGAACCTTTAGGGTCAGGGTCGGCAACTCCTTTTCCGAATCCTTTTCCCCAACAGCGGGAGTCCCTCAGGGATCTGTGATCGCTCCGCTTCTCATCTTGCTCTCTGCCAGCCCTCATGTTGGGAGGATCTCACCATGGTGGGCGAGAGTCATGTGTCGGTCCACCACATGACAGCGGGGCCCACCATACCTTAAGCTCCTAACTTAAATTTAAAAAAAGGCTCGGCGTAGGCCTACAGGTATATGAAAAGGCCTGGACAACTAGACACATTCTCGATGGTCCGTGTTGCATGGAGATGGGAGGACAGTATGAATTTTAGGATGCCAGATACGGCGTTTCACGCGTGCACCTAGCAACCCTGTCTACGTGGCCGGGAGGAACCGATTTCCTTCATCGTCTTCTGTGGATCCGTCAACCAACTGCCAGGGCTGGTTGGGATATGGATGTTTTCGTGGGAGACGGGCACCCCGAACCATGCGGAAAGCTGCGCATCCGCATTGGGTCGTGTTGTTCGGTCGCTATGGTTGCTGCGGACAGACGGCATGAAAAAGCAAGAAAGAAAAAGGAAATATGACACACCGACAGCCATATCTGCCATTTCCCCATAGTACCTATGAAAATGGGAGATAAAAATGAATACGTTGTAGAGAGAATTCCCCTGTATCTTTCGCCTGAACAGACGGCAATTCGACTGTAGACAGGAATTAAGCGCGCGTAGGGAGGTATTATAGCCCGTATCTCTTTGCTCCTGCTTTCCCTCCAGGAAGCGATTACGACAGTTCATGTGGTCCGATACATATAAAGGACGCTACTAGAGTATTTAACAGAACGTCGATATCACACTATATGATAAGGAACCCCACTCATGAGGCAATTGGCTCCTAAATGGGGCCTATCTTTGTAACCCCAACAAATGCATATTTCTTCAAATAGACCTGCTTGGAAGTTATGTAATACTAACCAGAGGGCTCCCTAAAAGCGAGACAGACCATATTTAGTACTTTACCTCTGCGTCCGTCCGTGGTTCGATTCTCACCTATTGCTGCTGTTAAGAGAGTTTAATGACACATCTCCTGCAAAAGCAAAACAGTAAAGAAGGCGCAATGATTTCTCGTTCTTTAATGCTATTTTCTTGCAACAGTTCTTTTAATTGGACTGAAATATAATCCGATCGATATTTTCAGAGTTCGAATTGAGTTCGATCTCGATTATTTTCATCCACAAAATTAATAAAGAGAAGTTTGTAGAT